AAGAAGAAGAAAGAAAGATTCGGCCAGACTAGAAGAGAGTCAAAATCACTCTCCCCTAGCTGACCCACTTGTATTTATTCAAAAACATAGAGTTATAGGAAAGACCATTTTGTCCCTCATAGAAGATGGGACACATAACTTAAACTCAGAGACAATAGACCTTTCACTCTCAAGCAGATAATCCAGAATGACCAAAATACCCCTGACTCGAGCATTCTAACAAGTGCGTTGTATCTTGAATTTGGAAATCAATGAACTTGACACATTCTTGAATGCTACCTTATAGGAAAGATGATTTACATATACTTGCCRAGGTCCTTATTCCTTTAGTTTGAAAAATATTATTATAGAAAATTTTAGTTCTTTTATGCCTTGAATGTGACTACATGTAATAATTGTCAATGTCCAATTGATGTTGTTAGATGATGAGGTTAGCTAATGGATCATGTGACTGAGGGGAGAGGGTAGGAAGATGAACAGATGGGTGGGGGCTAGGGAAGATAGGGGGAGTAAAAGAAAATTAAGTGAAAATGGGCCTCTAAGTTTGAGGGCTATGAATCAAGGTGGGGCAGGTTTTAGTTGGGTAGGGTGGTTTGGAAAACCTATTTGAGCCGACCAAGGTGGTGTTTGGCACTGAAAATGGGAAAATGGCACCACATCGGTGCCACATCAAAAAAAGTGATGCTTCAGAAAACGGTCTCTTATTTGGCATTGTTTTTCCAGAAAAAACGTTGCTCTAGACCATGCCTTGGAAATTGGGAAAGTGTGGTCTGAAGAAACGCCAAATTCAATGTTTTCTCAGAAAACACCTTGTTGCTGCTAGCGGTGCAATGACGTGGCATCATCTTGGGCGCTGGATAATGTAGACCAATGTTGAAAACGGTTATACAACACTGATACCAAACAAAACCAGTGCTGTTTCCCCAGAAAACAACCTATGTAACGACATCGATGCCAAACACCTACCAAATGAAATCCACATGTAGGTTCAACCCAAAAGAGGCTTTGAGAGGAAGGAATCGAGGCAAAACCTTTTTGTTGAAGATTAATTAGTTTTATGATGTTTTTTTGAGTAGATGTTTTATGTTAGTTGTTAGATTGGAGGTGGGGACCACAGTAGTTATGTGAGTCCAAATTTTATTATGTGTTTTGAGTGTTATATATGCTGTTTTATGTTTTGCCGCCCTATAAGGGCA